ATTTTTATAAAAAAAAATTGAAACTTTTAAAAAAATATTTTTCTTATATATTATAGATTGACTGAACTCTCTGTCATTAAGAAAAAAGAGAAGCTCAGTTTTATTTAATTCAATAATACTGGTACTGTGGAAAATAATAATTTGTGGAAAATAAAGGCTTTCAATGTTATTTTCTTAATATTGTACCGAAAACGCAATTAAGTCTTATATTATTATTGTTGAACCACTTTTAGAATATTCGATATCATTATACGTATGTACATATTATTATATAGATTTTGGATAAAGGCCGACAATTGATTGTCTCTTTTAACACGCATTTAACTATATTTTTTTTAGTTTTTAAATCATACATAAGTCCATAAGACGTAATAACAACTATATATAAAATAGTATATTATTTGCGTTTAGCTATTGATGAACCTAAAAAAAGTCGGAAATCGTCATATTTTTTTAATGACTATAACCAAAACAAAAGAAAATATAACACATATAAAGTGCATCTAATTGTTGAGGTGCCAGCGATTATGATTTGATACTGATAATTGGACGAAAACTACTGTCAATAATTAGGCATCCTCTATATAGCCGTATGCCTGTGAAATCGAAAGAAATATACAAAAAAACCGCGAAAAACAATACCGTCAATCAAAAATTCAAATATCGAATCAGTTTTATCCGCCAAGCAATAATTTTGAATTTGAAAATAGAAAGCGCATCCCCTCGGGGTTTCACCCTCTAGTTATCGATCGACAAAGACCTTGGCAGTGAGAGAGGACGTCTATTTATATCGGGGGGACTGGGGCGGGGGTTGGGGGCGGAGGGCCGAGGCACGGAATCGATTCGTAAGCTTCGCACGATTCAAAAATGCCCTTCACGTACTTGTATTTTGTTTGGTCGCGATTTAAAATTGGAAAAATTACTGACGCACAACTGGGGTGGCAGCATTCGGTTGAGAATGTTTTTCGATAATCACATAACAATGGGTGTGCCAACGGTGACCGCCCATCCATCCAGGGACACGTCCATTTGAAGAGACAAAATTATATTAAAAATTACCGCAGAAATTGTAGCTATACCACCTCGACCTCAGCAGAATCTGTTGCGTTATACGATGAGGCCTTTCGTTAATGGCGGAACTCATTCTCGGCTCACACACAATAATCCAAATGAAAATTTAACTCAAACAGATCATTTGCCAAGCTCTTATGTGGATTAACCAAACCCTAAAGATATTGACATGTGTTGAACACCATGAAAAGGTCATAGATATTTGTCCTATGAGCACTGTGTCAACTGTGTCACCGCTGCCACAGGGTTAGCAAACAGTGTGTCGCGAAATCGATTGTTGACTTTCGCTTTTAAGGCGTTGGCAGACTCAATCAATTATAATTTATTGCCAGGCAATAAGAAACACAACATCTTTTTTTTTTATTGCCCTTGTAGGCAGATGAGCATACGGCCCACCTGACGGTGAGTGGTTACCGTCGCCCATGGACTTCAGCAATGCCAGGGGCAGAGCCAAGCCGCTGCCTACCGCTTAATACTCTCCACAAGCCTCGTTTGAAGAAGGACATGTGATAGCACTCGGGAAACACCGTGGAGGGGATCTCATTCCGTAGCCGGATGGTACGTGGCAAAAAAGATCTCTGGAAACGCACTGTGGATGACCATAGTGGCTCCAGGTAGTATGGATGAATTCTACTCCGGTGGCGGGCGGTGCGATGGTAAAAACGAGATGCCGGTATCATCTCGAACAATTCCTCAGAGCACTCCCTCCCTCCACATCTGGAAGAAACAGAATGTGATTAGAGTTTTAATTTAAGGTGAGACACGGATGTTTTGTACAGGGCATCCCCGCTTAGTTACAGTCAGTTGCAGAAGCTTTATGGCCGATTTAAATTCATCTCAGTCACGGCTGAGTACTGCTCGCGGTCTACGCCCCAAAGGCAGGTACCAGGTTGTCACAGTGTCATGCCGTCGTGCTTGTGGTATCGACTTCTGCGACTGCACCTTCATGCAGCAAGCGGCGAGCGATGTCGAGCATTCGTCTCGACAGTTAAAGGTTAATACATCCACATTGTTGTACAATCATTGACGCTGACTCTGGATGCACTACTGGTGGTAGGACCTCTTGTGAGACCGCACGGGTAGGTTCAAATCGGAATCCGTGAATTTTTCCCGACAGTAATAAGCAGGACGGTTGTACCTACCCATGCGATTCATAATTCTATTATCACTTAATTTACTTTTATTTCGCTTCATGAAACCCGTATATAATTCTTTTTACACCTCAAGTTAATTCATTTGAAGATTTGGACCGAAGCTCGCTTTTGGATAAGGCTCGTCGTACTTGTGTTGTCTTCAAACAAAAGATATACATAATATGTATAATTTTATTACTGTAAAAAATAAAAAATGTTCTCACTACATTTACCGAACAACATCGCATTCATAGAAACACAACAGCTATGCGAACGATAATTAAAATTAAGTATACATACGCCTAGAAATATACACACAATAAAAGTGTCTGTACGAATCCAAACACATTAATCAGCCCAAAATAAACTAAAACTGTCCCTGCCTAATTCTGTCGTGAAGCAGTAATGCGTTTCGGTTTGAAGGATGGGGCTGCCGTTGTAACTATACTTGAGATCTTAGAAATTACATTTTTTTATTTATTGCTTATATGGATGGACGAGTTCACAGCCCACCTGGTGTTAAGTGGTTACTGGAGCCCATAGACATCTACAACGTAAATGCGCCACCCACCTCGAGATATAAGTTCTAAGGTCTCAGTATGTTACAACGGCTACCCCACCCTTCGAACCGAAACGCATTACTGCTTCACGGCGAAAATAGGCGGGGTGGTGGTACCTACCCGTGCGGGCTCCCAAGAGGTCCTACCACCAGTGATTACGCAAATTATAATTTTAGAACTTTGTATCTCAAGGTGGGTGGCGCATTTACGTTCTAGTTGTCTATAGGCTCCAGTAACCACTTAGCATCAGGTGGACCGTGAGCTCGTCCACCTATCTAAGCAATAAAAAAAAATTCAGCGTAATATCGAAAAATATATATTTTAAAGCTACCCGTTATCACAAAGCTCCGCTATCTGAATGTTTCGTGAAAATTCCCGGCGGCTGTGGTTGCTAGGCGGCGCGCGATCGATGCTGTCACAGTTGGGGCGGCGTCAGTGAGCTCTCACGTGGAATTAAATGTATTTTCTGAACGGAAAATTACCTCGGAGTTCAATAATGGTATATTGAGGTACTATTCTGTTTTTTTTTTTATATGACGTAGGTATTGCAGGTGACCCGGAGGCCTTTCCAGTTTCATCAGGACCGGTGGGTGAGCAAAGGGGTGGGATTTGCTAACAGCTGCCTGACCGCCTCCGAAGAAGACCTAACAACTCAAGAGCAACTGCTTCGCGAATGAATCTACTACCGGATTGAAATTACGACACGCTGAGAAGATCCGGCGAGAAACTCAGCGAGCTGATGCAAGGGTCAGGTTGCACGTCGACCTCTTTGTCGAGTTCGACGAGTACCAGGGTTACAAGTCTGCTAGTGTTAGAGTTATTGGATCTGATGGATCCGTAAGGACGTGTCTAGGGCGACGACGGTGACTTGCTTCTGCGTGATCAGGATTCGGGGGGTAATCAGCGGCGGCAACGATAAGGCGATTATCATGACGCGTAGCCTTATCGAAGTAACGTTCCGACACTGACATCATGTGTTTGCGTATCGATTCGAGGTCCAGGTCGTCGTGTAGGTCAACGTTCCTCACGAACCACGGAGCCTCGACGGCTAACCTGCAAAAGCGGGATTGTAGGGATTGGAGGGTGTCTATGTATGTGCGGGAACTGCTATTATTGTACAAGATGCCCAGGTACAATCACGGTCCATCTCAAGATTACACGTCTACACCAGACTGAGGAATGAGGTCGAAATTAATTTCAGTTTTGCAGTTTGCAATTTATAGAACAGAGAATGACAGGAGCAACTTTCCATGACTGGATAATGCAAAGGAAAACGATATATGGAGGACACGCTATAACTATGAGTTGTAGGATAGGTATTTACAAGGATCCTAATATCATAACAACTATAAAAATTGGACGCCTACGATGGGCAGGACATGTGGTTCGAATCGAGAATACCAGAATGCCAAGACAACTGCTCTATGGTAAACCAGAGGGCCGCAGAAGTCATGGCAGACCCAAACTCCGATGGTTAGATGGCGTAGAGCACGACCTCAAAGTTATCGGTGTCAGGAACTGGAAGGAGAAATCCCCGATCCGAGCAGTCTGGAGAGACTCACTGGACCAGGCTAAGGCCCACCCTGTAAGACCTAAGTGATGATGATAATGCAAAGGACTTCATTCAAGCCCGTCTTGTTGAATCAAATCTCAAAATAGTGAATGTATAATCGTTTTTTTTTTTTTTTTGCCTTTGTAGGCAGACGGGCATACGGCCCACCTGATGGTGAGTGGTTACCGTCGCCCATGGACTTCAGCAATGGCAGGGGCAGAGTCAAGCCGCTGCCTACAAAAATTAATTTAAAATCTTTGATATCCTCGGTGTTACTAGACTACCGTTCTCTATAAATATATAATGATATTGAGTACTCCAGAATAAATAAACAATAAAAGACTTAATTGCGTTTTCTGTTATGCGTATAATGAGAAAACAACATTGAAAGCCCTTAATTTAATAAAATTATTATATTTAACAAACTGAATTTTCTTTTTACTGAATGTCAAACTTTACTGAATGACATATAAGAAAAATCCTTTTTATAAAACTAAAGAGGTTTAGACTATGAAGGTTTTTCTTTACAAATATTCTAATTAGCGAGACACTTGAAAATAATACTGTATCTTTTGTATAATACTAAAATAATTGTTTCAAGTTTTATGATAATTTTTACGAGCATGAATCTAGTTGGTTCTCGTATTTTAATTGTATTAATTTCATGGTCTTTGGTTCGTTTACATGGAGGTGTCGTTACTGTTTACAATGTGTAAGTTTGTTAACAAATCGTTGATTTAATTCAAAACTTTTTAGGTTGGAAGTAGGTAGAGGACTATAATAAACGCATAGAATGTTTATCAGAAGGGATTAGTAGACACCTTAAGCTGCTATCATTCACTGTTCATCATTAATAATGATTCCGGTAATTAGCTAACTTTATAATTACATAGGTTTGTTTGTTAGAAACAAGTTATATCCTTCGTACAATTTTTTACATTAATCACGACCCATCTAAGAGTTCTTAGTGGCAGACAGTGACTTGGTTATGTAATTCCAAGAATCTCCCATCTCCAAGAGTGATGGTCACCTCACATTTACGTAAACCATATGACCACCAAGTTCGTCTCGTTGGTAAAAAAGAAATAGCAGTACCGGAAATAAGTAGAATCAAATAGCTTACCTTCTGCTTTCAAAACTTATGGGAACTGTCTCCTTCAGTCAGGATGCTTACAATTGATATCCTAATTTACTTCAAAAAAATCTTAGAACACAAAATACCGTTGGTTTGAATGAGTTAAAATTTCCTTTATTTAATTCTCGTACAATCTAATCCCCAGGGTTTTTGGCTACATGTACAACTCCGACTCACTCTAAAACAATAGCCATAAAAGACCACAGCTTCGTCGGGGAGGATCTGACATTGACAGAAGAACTAGCTCGAAGAATGGGATTGAACGCTACTTTCAACCCTCCGATGATCAAAGAAATCGACATAGGTCTCCCGGAATACCTCACGATTGACGAGAGCGCCTACATAAATAGAACTCTCCGAAGAACGGGCTATGACAACGAGAATGACCCTCACGAATACACTTTGAATTTCAAAATCTTGGACATGATGCGTCAGGACGTCTACTACACTCAATTCCGCGTCGGCCACTTGCACAGAAAACTAAAAAGATATTTCACTAGCCCGGATTTTAGATTGTCGTACATTTTCGGTAAGCTGGACGAATGGCTCTATGACATGAAAGTGATTTGGACTGTAGCTTCCAAGACGCGCGAGTTCAATAACGACGAGAAGCTGAGGAGATTCAGGGTTTATAAGCAGATGTTGTATTACACTCACATGTTGCGGCGAAATGTTGACATCACTTATACTGTCGAAGATCTGATTAAAATCCACAACGAGATATACCAGAAGAGGAAAAAGTTGCTCGATTCAGATTGATTGAGGGAAACTCCTTTAATCATAAAATAAAGGAGTGATTTTTTTAAGGTCCACTTTTTTAATTTACCTACAAGATAATTTTGGTCATAAGATTTCATATCTTTAATTTTTGCGGGCTCTTCTAGCCGAGATACGATTGAACTACAAAATATAAATCCTACAAACACAAGTATTTTAAAGTCTCCTGAGTAGTACGTTTGCCTGAATATCCAACAGACATATAATTTACTGGTGGTAGGATCTCTTGTGAGTCCGCGCGGGTAGGTACCCCACCCTGCCTATTTCTGCCGTGAAGCAGTAATATACTATACTTGAGACCTTAGAACTTATATCTCAAGATGGGTGGCGCAAGATGGTGGCATGGTCTATGGGCTCCAGTAACCACTTAACACCAGGTGGGCTATGAGCTTGTCCACCCATCCAAGCAATAAAAAAAAATATATAACATAGGACAAATATAAGTAAAATATTATTTAGTTGATTACTTTCTGATATTCTTACTCAAAGGTCTTCTATATCAAAGAAATAGTATTATTATAATTTCTCTCTTTTCCAAATACTTGGAAGTGGGCCGTAATTGGAACAGAATTATATGAATTTTTTCCGAATGAGAACCGCAGTTCATCGACCTGTGACCTTTAAAGTGTATAGTCAATTTGTAGATTTCAATCATGTACGGCTTACAGCGACAAGACTAGCACATCGGGCTTTGAAAGGAGCCTCGTATTTTTTGCACAGAATGATGCCTCTCTTTCCTTTTTTTTTTCCTCTGCTTTAATCGTCTTTATTTTTCGCCACAATCCGGGACTTCTAATGCAGTCACCGGTCTACAGATACAGTTTGTAGACTAACTTCATTTCGCTAGTCGTCATTTCGCTGGCTTTTTTTTATTACCTTTTGTAGACAGACGAGCATAAGGCCCACCTGATGGTGTGTGGTTACCGTCGCCCATGGACGTCAGCAAATCCAGAGGCACAGTCAGCCCGTGCCTAAAAACTGCTCACTCCAGTTTGCTATTTCATTTCAATTGCTTCGCGTATATCCAAATTTAGCATCAGAAAGTAGTTGGGAGGCACAGAGCTTATTGTTAAATCTGTAACACATGTGATTCAGATTGACATCATCTAAATATAAATTTGAATGTCTTTTTAATCAGTGTGTAAAAAATAAGGTGAGTTAATATAAAAGCCCCTTATTAATTTGAGATTTAATACACAATCAATAAAAAAACTGTTTATACCTAATAGTTTATATTATTGAAACAGGTTTGCTAGATTTCCCATTGTTACTGTCTGTCTACAAATTTAACAGATTGCCTGTAGTGCTTGCTATAAGGTGCATTGAAATCTTCAATAAAATATTCATATTTAATTCAACTATGGAAGTTTCTAGAAAAGATACACGATGTAGACAAATTTCTTTGCAAACTTCGTTCTACCTTGTTAGATATGATGAAGATATGCTCTTAATGATATTTTTTGTTGAAAATCTCGGATGCGAAAGAACATCCGTGCCTCATTATCTATATATTAATACTTCACGCAAAAACTTTGTATCCCTTTTTACGAAAATAGCGCGGACCGAGGAGTATGAAATTTTCCACACTTATAGAGAATATAGTGAAGAAGTGCACAATGCTAACATCTTTTTAAAATAATGCATAAAAGATACATTAAATCAATAAAGAAAACATTACATACACTCGTACCATGTATTTGACGCACACACGCATGCATACTATTTATTGTCAAACTTGACGTCTGTTGTCAAATTGAGAATAAATTAAATATTGTTTGTCTTTGATAATATTTTTTATAGTGTGGCGAAATTTGTGATTATAGAAGTATAAAATACAATCATAATAATGTACAAACTTACAATTACAATTAATTATAGTCGAATTTCGACTACTGCGGGACCTTTAATATTATGAATATCATGAAAACATAGTTGACCTAAGTGGCAAAACATATTCCCCTTAAATGTCCGAGATTTTTGCATCAATTGTAGTTATTCTTAAAAAAACACATGTCAGATTTAATTTGCTAAAATGTAATTTTAGCTTTTTGATTGGACTTTTGAGGGGACTTGGGCTCTGGAATGAGCTCACCCTTCCCCTAACCCCTCCACGATGTTTCCCGAGCGCTGTCACTCCCTACTTCAAACGGGTTTTAAGTGATCCTCAGTAGGCAGCGGCTTGGCTCTGCCCGTGGCATTGCTGATGTCCGTGAGCGACGGTAACCACTATCCATCAGTTGGGCTGTATGCTCGTCTGCCTATAATGGAAATAAAAATGGGTAGTTCAAATAAATCCACTTCTTTGAGTTACATGATCGAATTATGAGTGGTATCGCAAAAGGGGTAATAAACCTATATGTAAAAGAAACCTTTATTATTTGAAACCTTTAAAACTAGTTTTACAAAAAAGATTTTCCTGAGGACAGAATCAGTCACCTTTCTGTCATTCAGCGAAGAGATAAATATCAGTTTTGCATAGTATAATAATACCGGATAAACTGGTGGTAGGACCTCTTGGGAGTCCGCACGGGTAGGTACCACCACCCCGCCTATTTCCGCCGTGAAGCAGTAATGCGTTTCGGTTCGAAGGGTGGGGCAGTCGTTGTAACTATACTGAGACCTTAGAGCCTATATATCGAGGTGGGTGGCGCATTTACGCTGTAGATGTTTATGGGCTCCAGTAACCACTTAACACCAGCTTGGCTGTGAGCTCGTCCATCCATCTAAGCAATAACAAAAAATTATACTGATTAAAATATAAAAAAAAAATGAAGTGCTTTAAATGCTGTGTTCTTATTTATAGTACAGAAAACGCAATTAGTCTTATTTTTCATTCATTCTGGAGTATTTGATATCATTGTATATAAATTATGAAATATAATATACATATAAAAGAGACAGCTGCTATAAATGTAACAGTAATTTCGCCATTAAATGATTGAGGGATCCATTTTGAGTCGTCAACTGCGCTGTAATACGATACAATGGTGCATTGTTCTAAGCGTAATTACAAGCCACCCATCACAGACAGGCTGACGCCAGACCCACGGGCTTTTAGAGTCGACGACACGATCTGTCGTTGCGTTAAAAAAATTCTACTAAGAGACTATTAAAACAAACTAGTTAATTAATCCTAATTAATGCTTGTTTGACTAGCCGATGCCTACGCGCGCATTGCTCATAGCGTGGACCTTTATGTTACTTATTTCTGCCGTGAAGCAGTAATGCGTTTCGGTTTGAAGGGTGGGGCAGCCGTTGTAATTATACTGAGACCTTAGAACTTATATCTCAAGGTGGGTGGCGCATTTACATTGTAGATGTCTATGGGCTCCAGTAACCACTTAACACCAGGTGGGCTGTGAGCTCGTCCATCCATCTAAGCAATAAAAAAAATAAAAAAATAAAAAACTTATGACGACGCTTGCAGCTGAAAGTAAGTATTGTACTTTTTGACGAAGTATGTTGCGGATAATAACATGTACTTTTAGGTTAGGAATATTGTGTTCTTTTTTTTTTATAATAAATAAATTTTTATTGCCTGCGTCTGAAAACACTAAAATTTACAAATAGAGAGATGGAGAGGTCTCTCAAAAGCCGCAACCAAACATTATGACATACGTAACCACGACCAATCCGCCAGGAGTGTACGACTGAGAAGAAGTTGATTAATCTATTGTTTTAAATTAAAAACAAAGTTACGTTAATTAAACAAGATTTATTTTAATATTTTTTCACTGTTACGCTATGTAGTTAAGAATTACTTAAATAGTATTAAATTTAACTTGTCAGCGATTGTAGCTGATGCTGTAGTAATAGATCCGTTAGTGGAATAATAGCAAGATAATACCGCGTCCATTGAATTTTTTCCCGATAACGAGTACTTGAATAGTGGAACAATACGAGCCAACTTAAAGTTATTAGACCAATTCTTTGCGCATTAATTCTTTTAACTCTTTTTTTTATGTATCACACCTACTAGTTGTTGGCTGACACATGTTAAGATCACTGGTGGTAGGACCTCTTGTGAGTCCGCACGGGTAGGCACCACCACCCTGCCTATTTCTGCCGTGAAGCAGTGATGCGTTTCGGTTTGAAGGGTGGGGCAGCCGTTGTAACTATACTGAGACCTTAGAACTTATGTCTCAAGATGGGTGGCGCATTTGCATTGTAGATGTTGATGGGCTCCAGTAACCACTTAACACCCGGTGGGCTGTGAGCTCGTCCACCCATCTAAGCAATAAAAAGAAAAAGAAAAAAAGATCAGTAAACGACTCCATTGGAAATACATATACGTGGTATCTTTACCATCTTTTGGTAGTCAGCTAATAAGTTTGACGTAAAAAATCTACCTAAGAGTTCTTTTCATGTTTTTCAAAATGTCTATTTTATTACTTGTGCTACTACTGAATTTAATCAGAGATTTTTTTATATCGAAAATTGTAATAAGATTATCGAAATTACAACCGTTTTGTCGGAACAGCCGAGCTTACGCATGCAATAATAGTGCTTATCGCGCCGTAGACAAAGGTTAAGTTGATTTATAAACCGATTGAGATAACTCACTATATGATTCCGGTTCCAAAAAATTTAATAAGCTAACAGCACTGGCATTTGCGCTCAGATGTTAATGACGCTTTATATTTTATTTGCGACAATTGGTTTCAGATTTTTTTATTTAAATTAACCATTGTAAATTAATATAATTCACAAAATTATACTGAAGAAGTATTTCCTCGGGACTTCGCTATACGTAAAAATTATTAAAAATCCTTAATTTGAACGTATTTCCTTCTGAAATTTACAATTCACTCTTCGATGTCACTTTGATTTGACTGTCTCTGATGTCGATCATCAGCACGTGATCCTGACGCAACTGCTACCGATGTGGCCTGTCATATACCTCCAAGCTCTGTCACTCAAAGCCCTTTGCGACTCCAACCTTGGACTCCCCATGTTCACTCTCACACTCCTCTTCAACCTTCAGCAAAACGTCGAGGACTTGTCTCTTGACCAAACCTTGGTATTTTTTGGGTAAGCGCTTCGTACTTTGACATACGCTGGCGAAGAATAAATCCAGCGAATCTTGATCGGCGTTACCGGGGTCCCAGATCTCTTGCTCCTGGTCTGATTGAACCTCGGTCTCGTCCATTTTGATATCTTCGCGGATTGCATGCCTCTGGTTCCTGAAAGAAGTGTGATTATCTCATTTGAGTCGCCTACACAACTGGTGGTAGGACCTCTTGTATTACTGGTGGTAGGACCTCTTGTGAGTCCTCGCAGGTAGGTATCACCACCTTGCTTATTTCTGCCGTGAAGCAGTAATGCGTTTCGGTTTGAAGGGGGGGGGCAGCGGTTGTAACTAACTATACTTGAGACCTTAGAACTTATATCCCAAGGTGGGTGATGCATTTACGTTGTGAATGTCTATCGGCTCCAGTAACCACTTAACACCAGGTGGTCTGTGAGCTCGTCCACCCATTTAAGCAATAAAATTTAAAAAAAAAAAGACTCTCTGGTCGATGGTGCAGGTGATGCAGCCGTTGTTACAGCTTAAGTCAAAAAATCTTTAGTTGTATTGGAATTAAGCCCCTATTTAGACTAATGCCATGTATCACCAATAAACAGATGACAAAGACCTCAAAACGTCTACTTGACACGTCATACGCACCTCCTCATGGTCATGTGAGGCAGAACAAACGCCATCCTACTCTGGTACTGCCACTTCTTGGAAGGAACACCAGCTTTTGTTGTGTCACCCCTTTTCATCCGCTTCAGGGCCTGACGCATAGAGTCCCTTAGGATCTTCCATTCTCGCTTGAGGACTTCACCTACAGGAAAATGTTGAGTAAAATTGGCTGTTTTGTTGGCGACAGTGACATCCAACCTAGCCAGCCTATTGGTGGTAGGGCCTCTTGTGAACCGCAGTAATGAGTTCCGATTTCAAGGGTGGGGCTTTCTTCCCTGAAGCTGTCACACGTTTCAGCTTGTATTATTTAGTCAAGATACGAGAACGATCTTTAGGAATTAGAGGGCTCAATATAAATATTGGACGGTGCAGTTAGGTGAAGTCAGAACCCAAAATACTGGTTTTCATATGCAATTTTTATTTATTTAATTGTGTTATCAGTTACCGGAGTCCCCGAAGTTCTAATGTCTCAGTTTTCAGAGTTCAATGATTCAGTACCTCACTCTTAAAAGCGAAACGCATTATTGCTTTACGGCAGAAATGGGCAGGGTGGTGATACCGACTCGTGCGGTCTCTCAAGATGTCCTACTGTCCTAGGTTTGATTTTTATTACACGATGTTATTCCTTTTTATGTCATGATGGAAGTCAGTCAAATTGGAATACCTACGTATTCCAATAGAAAAATTGGTTCTTGCCGGCGGGATTCGAACACCGATACATCGCTATATACGAATGCACCTGGCGTCTTATCCTAGGCCACGACGACTTTCAATTTTTGCACCATGCTAATTGAATTAAATTGAATAAAGTGACCTTTCAGATGAAATTACCAAAAGATGCATACATAAACAAGCAAAATTTTATTTGTTTAATATTAACACAATCTTAAGTGGTACTAAAATTGTTTATCCTCATCTGTCAGTATTGATAGTAACCCCACCCTTGCTGTTTAAGTTTACTAACTTAATCCTCCCACACTCCCACTTGCCTTCGGGTGAAATCCTACAATCCTCACGGCTGATTTGATATTACTCCGGCAGCCAGTCGCTAAATTGCAAGCTATCAACTTTTTCCCTACCTACTTACTCGCCGGTAGCTTACGGGGCTATTCCAGTTACTCTCAAACTGTAGAATCAACTGTAAGTAAATATTACAGATCGCATTTAAAAAAATAGAAAACTTATTGTTTAATCTTGAAGCTAAACCACACAATAGTATCTTTGTCTTTGTTAGAAATTTGAATGATGATCATGTTCGGCAATATTGGATTTGCAAATTTAAGCCCGCATTTATCAAAATACAGAGCTTAAATAAGAGCTAAATAGATTGGTTTTAATCTAATAAGACAACTTAGGTAGTCAGCGCTCTGATAACTCTATGCTCTGAAATTTGGTACATAGGTTCAGAATAATTTTATTTTGTAAAATGCTAAGTCCACTAATCTAAAACAATGCATGCAACAAAAATATAAGGTTCGTAACTCACTGTTAGCTCCCATGCGCTCGGATATCTCTAACCAGCATCGGTCTCGCACGTCGATGTCCCTATGATTTTCATGTTTCGTGTCCCACAAAACGGGGTATTTTTTGACTTCATCGATCAACCTTTCGCGATATTGTCTCGAATTTGAGTTCATTATCTAAAAAACGCGACCACACGAAGCGAGGTCCAAGCGATACTGAGCGAGATGAAGCTATGGGCGACGTTGCCGCTCCGCATTGAAGCTAGATGGCCGTATCGCGCATCGCACTCGGTGTAATGCATGGTTTAACACAGAGTGAATAAATTTAGATGGCACGAAATATTTATTTTTATTCACTTTAAAAGTATTAATGTACTTTTTGCTTTATAAATATGCAGCATTTTAATTTGAAAATTAATGCTTTATTTAATGTCAGTAAATACGGAACTAAAAATTTTAGACATGTTGTGTTACTTATAGTTTACCTAGTAGGTATTTTTCTCTATTTTGTTTTGTCCTTAATCCATTTGATGAGTTTCGTTATGCTTATTCCACTTATCATAACAACAGTTGAACTAATAATTTTGTTTATGGAAATACCTGCTAATAATTATATCTAGACAAATGCTTGCATACACGAACATAACTTATACACATATTATCTAGTTCATAAGCTCAAAATACGTTTCCATTAGTTTTGATCGACTAAAAAACATAGAGGTGCGACAAGTCTCTAAAGTAAGTTTGATTCTATGGCGCGCTACGTTGCCAGCTGCAACGAATGGCGGCCCGCGCCGCGTGGCGACGTTGCCGCACTGAACGCTGCTCGCCGGCCGGCGTTTGACGAACGAGTTATAACCTACGGTTCAATTGTTTACACGTCCTATCTTTCCTATGCCTTTTTATACACGTTATATACTTTGTCAGTTTTCCAAACCTGATTTACTGTTGTACTTTACTAGCAGATTCTCATATTATTACCCCTACCACCTATTACTAACCTATTATTACTCATGTGCATACTGTAAGTTTGCATAAACAATTAGGTAGGTACCTACGTTTAACACCAAGCAGTTGTATAATGCTGCCTGATTATATAGAACTACGACTGCACATCTCATTAATGTCATTCCCGCTGTTATCCCTACTTGTGGGCTCACAAATCAGCTTAGCCCTGAGCTGGTTTATTCCACTAAATTGTAGCAAGTACCTAGCTTTATGTTTTATTTTGGTTTATCCCATTTCTATAAGTTCCAGTCGTATTTACCTTCGTATTGCACAATTAACATGATTAATGTTGTTAAACAGTCTATACGGCTGCCGGTAGTTGAAGCCATAAGCCATAACACAATTTCGTTCCGATATCGAGTCGAGGGAACGCGTTCCCGGCCCCGTCACGTCACAGCCGGAGTCCCGCAAGGCTCCGCCCTCTCCCCGTTACTATTTAGTTTGTATATCAATGATATACCCCGGTCTCCGGAGACCCATCTGGCGCTCTTCGCCGATGACACCGCCATCTACTACTCGTGTAGGAAGAAGGCGTTGCTTCATCGACGNAAAAAAAAAAAAAAAAAAAAAAACACAATTTATTCGTACAGAGCTCTAAAAGGAATGATTTTACCAGTTTCAGAACTAGATGGCGCTAGTAATGTGTATTTTCAAATAATATCACAATTCCTTTTGTTCATATTTGTTTTATTTTCATTCTATGTTTGGTATACACAATAAATAGCCTTTAGTAGATACGAAAAAAAGATCGAACCATTCCGAGTAATAATAAAGAAAAGAAAGAATGTTAAATAAATATGAAGAGAATGAGAAATATGAAGAAAAATTAATGTTATGAAATTCATTCACTCAAAATAAATATTCTGAGCCGGAATCCAATCTCTAGCCAAGAACGATAGAGTATTTTACATTTCTTTTGTGAGTATATTTTATATCATTTTTTTAACCTAGCCATTTTGCTCGTGACGAACTAATTAACGGAACCTCTGGTATTAAGTGGTTACCGCCGTTTACAATCATCACAATATTAATTATTAGTTTAGATTCCCAAATATGAATGCCTTGTTTGAATCCTAAAATCAGTGAATTAATTGCGCTGCTACAATTTTGTTAGGAGATCGAACGCATATATTATACACGACGAAGGGAATCTAAGGAGAATCTACCGGTGTGGATTAGCCAACCGACATTAACAGTGTTCTTGTAACGAGGCTTGCTGAGAGTTCTCAATGGTAAGCAGCGGCTTGCCTCTGTCCCTGGCATTGCTGATGTCCATGAGCGACATTAACCACTTACCATCAGGAGGGTTGTATGCTCGTCTACCTGCAAAAAAACCCGAGATTTACTGGTGGTAGTGGTGTTGTAAGTTCGTACGGGTAGGTTTTTTTTCATTATTGGTTAGGTGGGTGGACGAGCTCACAGCCCCCTGGTGTTAAGTGGTTACTGGAGCTCATAGACATCTACAACGTAAATGCGCCACCCACCTTGAGATATAAGTTCTAAAGTCTCCGTATAGTTACAACGGCTGCCCCGCCTTTCAAACCGAAACGCATTTCTGCTTCACGGCAGAAATAGGCAGGGTGGTGGTACCTACCCGTGCTGACTCACAAGACGTCCTACCACCAGTAAAAAACTACTATTGTGCCTATCAGCCGCAAAGCTTTTATGCGTGATCATTTGAAGAGTGTCATACTAGTAACACAATACACCTGAGACTTCGATCTTCGACGGGTAGCAGTACTGACCACTTCACTCTAGATGGGATCTGAGCTTCTTCAACCATTTAAGCAATAAAAATGTGTGTTAGATTCAGTCTAGACTTTTCCATGGCCGTGTAATAAGTATCCAGCTACATCTAAGTGAAGTCACTCCCATATTTAGTTACACCAAGTGCTTACGTACACGCCTAGACGGCCTGGGTGAGTTAGCTACTGTGTATATTGTGCTAATAATACCAAGTGTAGCTCTGCATACAAGGTATTATCGTATTTTACTACAAAATTTATATCAGTAGGTATGCGAACGCTTTTGTTACCTGACCGACTTGAATGCAGGTATTAGGGGAACGTTGATCAGTATTCTTTATGGATGACACCGAAAAATTCGTTTTAAGGTCCGTCTTGTATCTTTATGTCTGTGTAACCATTCGATGTGTGTAACGAAATCTATGAACGTAATGTTTATAGAATCCAAGCCGTCCCGATTAACTAGAACTATGCTCACGTTTGGGGGATCAATGACGTTACAGTTATTATTATTGCTATGACCTAATGTTAATTTCTAGCATAGGTATTGTTTATAATCTTTTTTAAAATGTGGTGTAGAGAGAAAGAGAGAGAACATACTTTATTGCACACAAAACACAATTAGCATTAGTAAACAATCAACAAGAGTGGGTCGCGTTTCCGATCCGACAGTAGATTCTGCGAAGCACGGCTCTTGCTAGGGCTAGTGCTAGCAACGTCGTCAGGTTTGAGCCCCGTGAGCTCACCTACTAGTTCGTTGAATCTAGAATAGTCCCTCGAGGTTACTAGAATAGGTAGGAAAAAATACAGTTACGCTTGTACAATGAGCGGTCTTATCGCTAAAAGCGATTTCTTCCAGACAACCGTTTAATTAACAGAAATTCTGGAAAATGATGATGATTGGTGTAGATAGGCAGACTTTGAGAATGAGGCCGATTTACTGTATAAGCTCATGTGTTTTTTAGGAAGGAAGGATTACTGGTGGCCCGATTGTCTTTTTTGTTTTTTTTTTTTATGTTTGAAGTATTATTGCCGTCCCGGAGACCTTTCCAGCTTCACCAGGACAGAAACGCGAGCACGGGATCAGCCCGGAGGGTTGGGGTTTGGCAACAGAGTGACCTAATTGCTCAAAGGCAGCTGCTTTCCAAATGTATTTACTACTGGATTGAAATCCCGACGCCCTGAGAACATCCGGCGAGAAACTCAGCGGGCTGATGTACCTGGCGGGCTGATGGGTTAGGTTACACTCTTTGCCGAGTCCGACGAATACGATTCTCGGTGTCCCTAAAGCTACTCCTAGTGTTAGACCTGCAGGCAACTAATAAGTAAATGAACAAAGTGAGTGGATCTGATGGATCCGTAAAGACGTGTCTACTGCGTTAACGATGACTGGCCCCTGCTTGAACCGGAGTTGAAGAGTTGTCAGCGGCGGCAACGATAAGGTGATTATCATGACGCATAGCCTTATCAAAGTACCGCTCTAATGGTGACTTCAGTTGTTTCCTGATAGATGAGGTCATGTTTAACGTTTTTTTTATACTTATAAGTAACTGGTCAGTTTTTGGCAGTCAAAAGATTGGAGCACCGGAGAAGACTATGGCTTCGTGCTACCCTATTCTTCCCCATACAATGACTGTGCAAATATTTTTAAGCTATAAAGGGTTGCTTTTCTGACAATATGCTAAAGCGCGTAGGAGTCCGATTCACCGAGAACTCAACTAGGTATATTCCTGATTCGATACAATATCACGATAATTACGAATCAATTCCAATACGACACTAGTATAACACTGTTTATGTCGGATGCACATTGTGCTTCTTCACGCAAATTATCGGAAATTTATAGGCACGTTTATTTTCTTTTAACTTTGTGGAGAGAAATGACAAACTTGCCATAGAAGCGTTGATTTTTTTATATTTGTTTATGTGTATTTACTCTGTCTTTCGCTGATGGCACCTTCAACACATTGTACGAAGTAAGTTATGAAGGAAGCGCCTTTGGGGCTTACGACAAAGGGAAGATCATCCACCGACCGGGTGATATTGCTCGGTAGACCGACGGTCCGAATGTTGTTGTTCGGAACTTGTATATATGCGCTTTATCTTGAAAATGTCGTAAGCGAGATTCAGGCATCTGTCAATTATCTTGCGTTGTATGATGGCTACCCGCCACATCACTCCCCTCCGAGACTGGAGGTCGTGTCATTTTTAGTTAGCGTTGTCCGTGCTGAGATTAGCTTGCAAGGGCCAGTGCTTCTCAAAGCCTGCGGTGTGTCGAGGCTGAGCTTGAATGCTGCGTGCGTGTCGCCAGTGCTGCTCGAAGTTTGCAGTGAGTCGAAACTGAGTTGAATGCTGCGTGATTGTCGCCAGTGCTGCTAGAAGTCTGCGGTGAGTCGAGACAAAGCTTGAATGTTGCGTGCG